AGTTCTGTTCTATCTGGAAGGCTTGTCTTTAGCTCTAAATTTCTACTTCACAAATCTAAACCACCCATGTATGTGGTTTTACTTTATATTAGGGTTTATTCTTTATGTTAGGGTTTATTCTATCATCATACCACCTCCAGTGTCTGCAAAGGAACAGAGACTGTGAACACCAGTGACCAGGGCTTTGCAAAACTGAAGTCTTGGCATGCAGAACAAACCATCCCCTGCAGGTCAGCAAAACTCGGCTTTCAGATCTACAGCCCCACAGATAACAGACCTCAGAAAAAGGTCATGGTGTCTTGTTCTTAAATGCCCTCCAAACCACTGCTTCCTCCTGATTATGGCAGAAGTGAAGAAGGCAGCCTGCTTCTATTCTCTTTAAATCACAGCCCAAAAAATTCTACTTGAGTTTTTGTACCTTTCAGTGCTTTTCTTATCAGGTCTCTGTACTTCCGTAACTAAGCAAGCCGCTCTTCTCAAAGCCCTACAACATTTGAAAGTCCCTTCTTAAGACCTGCCATGCAGTTTAAATACCAGAATATTTCATTGCATTTTGAATTATCTGCTATGCAAAACTACACTCTTTTCGACTTGAAAATGTTTCATCCTCAAGTACAGATCATGCATTGCATGTCTTCTATTTAAACCTTTAAACACCACAATTTCTGTGCTTGGCTAGGTGCATTCACTGCAAGTTTCCAGTGGAGAACCTGACAGGTAAGAATGATGAGCAAGAGCTGCCTAAATGAGATATGGGCCTTCCCTTCCAATGAGGTAACTGTGTGCATCTAGAAGAACATATTTTCCTGAAGGATCTCCTGCTTTACTGCTCTTGGGCACATGCATACCACAAACTCCATGCTTGAAACTTTTCACAGCTCCAGCTACAAACTTTATTCACTGTGGTGTAAAGGCTAAGAGAATTGGGATTGTTTAGCCTGGAAAAGAGAAGGCTTCAGGGTGACCTAATTGTAGCTTTCCAGTACCTGAAGGGAACCTAAAAAAAAACCTGCAGAGGTACAAGAGTAAGTAGCGACAGGAAAAGGGGGAATTGCTTGAAACTGAAAGAGGACAGGTCTAGATCATGTATTAGGAAGAAATTATTTCCTGTGAGGGTGGTGAGACACTGAAACAGGTTGCCCAGAGAAGCTGTGAATACCCCATCCCCAGAAGTGTTCAAGGTCAGGCTGGATGTGGCTCTGAGCAACCTAGTCTAGTGGAAGGTGTCCCTGCCCATAGCAGGAGGCTTGGAACAAAATCTTTAAGGTCCCTTCCAACCCAAGCCATTCTGTGATTCCATGATTCTATGTGTGAACAAAATCTCCCCCATTTCACACTCAGAAAACACAACCTAACTGTATTTCCATGGTCTTTTCCATTACAGGTCAGTTTCCTGATGTCACACTTGCAGCTCTAACTGCCATTGTATTTGAAAAAGAGATCCTTGTTGAGGCCATATCCAAGTGATGGTCTGCTTTGGTTTAAAAAGTTTCTGATAAACAGATTTGAGAAAGATATGTCAGTTGTACACATCTCATATGTGTGGCAAACATTAAAAAACCCTCTTACTGCCTTTATTCAAAAGACACTGAGGATTTTTCAGCTTTTATCAAATACACAACTCCCTTCCCACAAGCTAGATGTCCAGACCATCTCTTATTCAAGAGAAAGCACATGTCACTAAATCAGGGTGCACAAGGCACGTGGCAGCTGATACTCTAGATTGTTAAATATTAAACAGGTAGCTCTGTACACTATTTATTTATTCACAGAAGCCAGCTACCTGCATCACAAGACTACCAGAGTTTATTACAACAGAATAATCCATGGGCTGTGAGAAATTTTCTTCTTCATGTATCTACCAAGCATTTCTTTTGAGGAGAAATACATAGGAATGACTCATATTCCTGGTAGGTTACCTGTGAATAAACCTGAAATCAGGACATCTTAAGTGCAAATGGATAGAGTGATCTGTATCTTTCTTACCATCACAGCCATTGCATGTCTTTCCTAACAGTCCCAAACTATACCCAGCTGCAGGTTAGCAGAATATTTCTGGGTTGTTAGCTTCTCAAAATAGTCTCTGGACAGTTCCAATTGGTATTTTACCAAGCATTCTGCTGTGAATGTATCACTCAAATGCTCAGCACTGGGAAGTAAAAGCCACTTTCTTGCAAAAAAAGGCAAAAGTAGTTGTATCTAATGAGTCTCAACTGAACGTTTCTGACTCCCTGGCTTCATTGGTCTCCAGTGGAGAGCTCCTAGCTAAATAAAAAGTGACTGCTACTTGGACCTAAAGAGGTCTTATCAGTTTCAATATCATACAATTAAGAACACAAAAGTATTACAAATATTTTCAAGTAAGTTCTATCTCTAAAAGGAAAATTGTTTTGCTAAAAAATATAAGGACAATTTTCAAAGTAGACCTGCAAAATAACTGAAGGTAATAAAAGCATCCAATTTGCATTATTTATCTGCAGCTCCTTGATATTTCTGAGGTAAGAAAATAGTGTCTGCCTAAAGATAAAAACAGTCTTACTTCAAGGTCAGTGTTACAGATCAGAAAGAAAAACATCTTTGGTCTGGTTGGCATAAACTAATTGGCCTCAGGTCCTGTCCTCTTTTTTCTCAAGAGAGACAAAAATAAAATTTATGATTATATGAATGGGCTTCACTATATTTTTATTACAATTGACCACTCATGGTCACTTAGTCAAGACAGTCTTTTTTTGCCCAATGTACAGCTACGTAATTCCACAAATGCTTTGTTAAAGAAAGTAGACTGTTCCTGAGTTGCCAACTGAATTAAAGAATCCAGTAAAGCAAATACATACCTCATCTTCAGCGAAAAACAAAATTCCTACACTGACCCAAGTTCCTTCTACGTCTTTCCCTCAATCTGCTGTAGATCTTCTAAACTGTTTGCCTAATTCACTTCCTCGCTCCAAGAACACAGATTGTCTGTACATCTACAACCATCACTTATCTTCTCAGTGAGCTATACTGTCATTAGAGATCACTGTTTTGATTGCAGCCAGTCCTGAAAATCTAAGTGAGGTTCTTATCTGACGTGCTGTGGAAAATATCAAACAAGAAATTAACTTTTGGTGCAAAATGGGAACCTCTGTGTACTTCAATATCTAATCTGTGCAGAGACCAGCAGAAACACCTGTTTTGTCGCTGTATCAGCACACCAGGCTGAGTCACATCAGCATATCTTAGAACAGTTAACTTCTGCAAAATGCAGATAGATTTTGTAGAGCAGCTGAAGCACCTTCAGGAAGGCCTTGATGCTCTCAGGATCCTCAGCCTAATGTCACAGAGACCATCACTGTACTTGGTGTTACAATCGATCAGGAAGCAATAGGAAGTTCTTCGATCCTCCAAGCAAAGACAACACTTACAAATATAGACAATATGGTAAACAAAATGTATAGCAAAGTAATGTGATTGATTTGAAAAAGGGGAGAAAAAGAATTACAGCTTTTGGAATTTTTTTAATAAGTCAAAAATAATTGTGTCCCATAAAGAATAATCTGAGATTTCTTTAGCCCTCATATGACTGCTAATCAACTCTGTAAAAGACATAATTTTTAAAATATTAGTAGAAAAAACTTTTGCAATATAGGTTTGGTTTCGTAGGTTTTGTTTGTTTGTTTGTTTGTTTTCTTGTTTTTGGGTTTTTTTGTGTGTGTGTGTGGTTTGTTTTTTTTTTAATGTTCAATAAAACTAGTAAGAATCAGGAAAACAATTCAAACCTACTTATCACTGTGTTTCCAAAAAAATTTAAATCTAGATGCTATGTCTCAATCAGCTTGCATGTTTTTTCAGCAACTCAAACACCATGCTCCAAAAATCTCTTCCCATTTGTAGAATACTAGTCTTCATAATTTTGAAGGCAGATAAAGAAACCAGAAGCCTGTCATAGAAATACTGGGTATGTGATATTTTTTCACCATCTGAATTCCCTTTGCAATGGCTGAGGTGTTTTAAATAGTTCTGATGCATTCTTAAAGTTACAATAATTCAGTTTAAAACACCAAACAACACATTAAAAGTTCTATTTTTGGTGTTCTTCTCAAAAAAAAAACAAGGTCAAAAAAACATTCCACAGCAGTAAAGAGGATAGAGCAAATGTTTGCAGTGCATTTACCCTTTCAGTAATAGCCTAGGAATACATAATAGACTATTTTCAGTCAGTAAATGTAGCCCACCAGCTCTTTTCATATTAGGCATAAATTTAATGCAGTTAGCAGTTGGTTTTGAGTTTATTTTATTAAAAATGCAGAAAATTCATAAAACTTGGAGTACATATTTTCTTACAGACAGCTGGAACCACAATTTGGGAAACAATTCTGATCCAAGTTAATCCTCATGCCAAAAGTAAGGATTTCAGAAGTGCTGATGCTATAAATCCAAATGATGGCCTTTGATGCTCAGGTTGCTGGAGAGTGAATACATTTTACAGTGATAATGTAATATATTGAGGTTCATAACCTATTTCTAGAGCCTGCAAGTGGACATGCAACTTTTCTGGAATATAACTCTGAGCTACAATACCACCATACAGAATATTAATAGATTTCTGACAGAATTGTTGGGATTATGTGACAGAAGATGAAACTTAAAAACCTAGAATTAATAAAAACACACAAGGATAGATAATAGAAAAGGAAGTGTTTGGTAGCTATTCTAAAATACCCCATGGTAGCAAAAAATGTAACAGCACTTGTTTCAGAAAATACAAGTAAAGAGCTCTGTGTAACAAATCCAGTATACCTGGGGTCAGCAGTGTTTAATAAAGAAAGATTTGGCTACCAGATAATGCATGTGGTTATTTCTCTCGTGCTCTCTAGAGTACAAATTTAAAACAAAGCACCACATACTTTCTCAAGAATGAGACACAGAACAACACATGTGCCCTTCTTCACTGTCGTGCATGTCACAATTAAAGGAACGAGGCATACACAATCTGAGAGCCAAAAGCTTTGTATACTCACATCTCCATCTAGTGGTCTCTGGTCGTCAGAATCCCTGGATGGACTGATGTCCTGCCGCATCACCCAGATAGGCTCCTTAGGTTCATCAGGGGTATAAGGAGAACGGATGGTCCTTGTCTTCACTTCCTCAATAGCCTCTTTAATATCCTTGATGGCCAGTGAAATTGCATCTCTCTTTTCCTTGCTGTACCTCTGTACAGATTCTCCTGAGCTGGATGTAACTCGAGAACCAGATGTGAGCTGGCCATTACTTTCATGCCCACCACTGACAAGAGCCTGACCATGCTCCAAACTCTGCTCTGACTCTGGCATGTCTTCAGCTGCCTTGTCTAAGCTCTGGGAGCTCATGCTCTGCTTCACCTCTGCTACAATCTGATCAATGTCCTCCTCCTGTTCATAGCTATCCATTCTTGGGTAGGGTGCAAATTCTGCTTCCTTTTCAGGGCTGTCAGACTCTCCATCCGATCGCTCATCGTAGTGGTGAAGGCGGGCACCAAGTGCCTCCTTACGGTAATTGTCGGCTTCCTCCCTTTCCCGCTCATACTGTTGGATCCCCTCCCTAACATCAAGGTCTGGTGTATCTCCTATTTCCTCATATACATGCTCCTGCAGTCCATAGTCAGCGTAAGCCTCAGCATACTGCTCATCCTCTCCTCGGTGGAAGAGACGATGTGTGTAGACATAACCTGAGTAGGCCGCATTCATGGCTTCCTCGTGCTCAATGGAATGGAAGTGTAAGTGATTGGGCAATGTTCGGTTATGAATGGCCTCGCCATGCTCAGCCTCAGCGTTCTCCGTGTACTCCTCAGACTCCGGCCTGTACTGCACCGCATACGCGCTCTCATCCTCATTCTCCTGCACCCTCTCTGTGTCGTAACTGTCCTCCACCGTGGCTATCACATCCCCTTCTGCAGTATCCGTGTGATTGTGGAAACCACTCTCCGTGCTGGCTGACCGAGCTAACATCCCTTCCTCCTCCTGCCCAGACAGGCCCGCTTGGATGCTGTTTGTATGCCTTGGGTAGCGAGTCACATACCTCTGCTCCTCTTCCACTTCTGAGTGCTCCAAATCAGCCTCCACTGACTCATTCACTGCTCCATTCGCTGGCTCTTCACTGATCTCCCCCTCAGGTGGTCCAACCAAATGGTTCATGGCAAGTTCTGTAGGGTAGGTCACTTATTCTACTGACATTTTGTCTATCACAGCTGGAAAGAAACAAACAAAAAAATACCTCTGACATTACTCTTAAAAAAACCCTGGAATCAATAAGCAGAAGCAACAAAGGCACCCTTCCTTCCCCATAAGACAAACATTTGACTTGGTCAGCTCTCCAGTAAGACAACAGCCAGCACAACAGTATTATCTCCCATGCAAATACCTCCAACAGCAGCAACCAGAAACAATACTGCTAGGGACTGAACTTCTCACTTCTGTGGACAAATTCCTGGTGCAAGAATCATTTCCGAGCAACTCTTGGCAGTGGCATTTCAATGATGCTGGCAGGTGTATATGAGAAAAGCTAACTTTTGCCAGAAGCTCCACCATGGCAGAGATACAACAGAAGTATTTCACCTTTGCTCCAGCACTCTCCCTGTAGCTCACTAACTCAGAGCAACGGAAAGAGGTTGTAATGTAAAACAACAGATTTAGTCCTGTCACAGGAGCCTGCAATTGCTCAGATACAGGACAGCTATGCATTCGACAATTCTTCAGTGTCTTGGCATCTTAGCTAAGATACCTGAGCTAATCACCCTCTGCACTTTTGAAAAATCAATAGAAATGAAAGTGCGCTCTCAGGTTATCTGAAGCACCTGTTTCTTCTCGCGAGAGAAGCACGTGACAACTATACATAATCAGTTAAAATGGCTTTTTTCCTAAAACATGGAGAACACTTTACTAATATTCATAACCATGACACATTGAGACTAGTGAGGCATCTTAGCTTTGCTGACTTCAAGTAAAAAAGATTTCAAGCTTCTACAAGTTTCACAGGGCAAGCAGGCCGATCTAGCTCTTAAAGTTTCATTTTTATGTAACGTCTTCAGCTATTTTGAACCTTACCTTATGCTTTTAAAATGCAGTGTCATGAAAAGGACACACTATATGCTTTTAAGTTCGTGAACCAAACCACATATCCGTAAGTAAAATACAGCTCTAGCCTGTGACTTATTGCTAAGTACTAAAGAAAAGGTACCTATTGGAAGACTTCTGACCTGAAGGATCCATAAAAGCATATGTCAATTACCAACTAAAAAAATTAATGTGAATGTGAAATAGAACTTGAATCAAATCTAGTAAACAGAGACAGGGAGGCTCAGGTGGCACTTTGCTGACTAAATGAGATCTGTGCAGAAGAGCTAGTGGGAATAACTTCCTGTGATGAGAAAGCAAAAGTAATTTCAGTTGCCCTCTATTAGAAAAGTTGAGAGGTATGCAAGGCTAGATGTGAGCCACTTGAACTACACTTCCATGGGAAATCCAAAGGGTACAACTTCCAGCTCAGTGAACACTTGTTGTCTTTGTTACACCCCTAATGTTTTAGCCTTATAAACTTAGGAGTTCTAAAAAAACCCCCAAAGAACCAAAATCAAAAGAAAGAAACAAACAAACCAAAAGCAAATCCAAACCAAACCAAACCAAACCACAACAACAAACCACAAAAACTACAAAACAAACACACAAAACCCCCCAAACAAACAAACCACAACAAACCTAAAATGCATCTTGGTCCTGATTCCAGACTTTTTCATTTTCAGAAACTGCTCATACACAGCTTTCACAAACCTAGTGTGCTGTGTTTAACCTCTAAGACTTGTCTTTCCCATTCTCATCATAATGAAGAAAATATAGTATATAAAAAATGCACTTGTAAAATAATAGCTAATCAATCCCATTAGCTAAGCAGATAAGGATGTTCTACACAACCTAACTGTTTTTCAAAATAACTAAAAAAACCCTCAGTTTGCTTTTTCCAGCTAAGGAAGATGTGTTAGTAAAAAGGTTTCCATGACAAGATAAGGTCTTGTCCAAGTAAGACTTTCAAGAAGTTAGAAAGAATGGACATCTTAGAAGTGTGTATGCAGGTGTGCACCAGAACTAACAAACCACTCTCCTCCCTGCAGCATATGATATGTTATTTAAGTAAGCAAGAACACTAATACTGGAGAGATTTACATTTTTAGCACACAAAAAAAAGAGTGAAGATGCCAAGGCATAACAGCCCTTTGAAAAGTCCTTCCCAAGGAAGATTACTATTGAGGAATACATTTGGTGTAGGCAGCTCTGTTTTCAGCTTGCAGCATGAGATATAGGTGGAGCTCTGGGTGGCAGGAGCCACAGGCAAGAGCCATGAATTGCTGAGCCTTTGCATAGACAAGAGCACCAGTAGCACCAGCCAGGTGGATGGACACCAGGAGACACAGCAGGAACTAAAGACTCAGGAACAAGAGTGAGACTTCCATGCACTTGGACTGTCAGGGGATAAAAGCCCAGGGGGTTCTTTGTTAGGGGTCCCTCCTTGGAGGCCCCAGGTCCAACTGTTTGTGTGTTGCTGCACCATGAATAAGTGGCTCTGTGGAATGAGACATCTGCTGTGGGAAACCTGGGGTCGAACCAGTAAGGAAATCTGGTCTAATTAAGTAAGAATGGGTGGGGAGTCAAGGGGGGACCTGTCAGGTCACTGGAGCCGCCCACTGCAAAGGGGCTTTGGTGCCAGCAGTGAAAGTCTCTGGTGGTGGGAGTGTGACAGCCAGAGAGCCTCATGAATGGTCAGACTGGGAAGTTTTATTAACATTGCCTGCTTTTAACCAAGTCAGTTATAAAATTTCCACTCTTTTGCATGTAGACAGAATTAGGCTAAAGTAGAGGACTGTTTAAAAAATCTGCCTTAAATTTGTTGCATTCAAAATAGCACTAACTCATATCTAAGTGTCATTGGTCACCCACAGAAAAAGGGTAGTGCTAGTTGAAAGGAATGAAGTTACACATAAACACAAGATTACGATCAATTTTTTGAAATCTTATCACATGTATCCTGACACATCTTTAGCTGAGTTATGTTTTTAGAAAAGAAGGCAAAAAATCAACCACATGAAGATATCTCAAGTCAAATAAGTCAAATTACTCAAGTATCAAATGCCACAATGCTTAAGACAATAAAAGTTCTGATAATAGCTCAAAACATGTCATCCCACTTTAGAATTCTTACTACAAGATTGCAACATCATGCATTCTATGGACAGGCAGCATCATTGACATGTCTAGCTGTGAGAAACAAATTACAAACCATACAAAAATATTGCTAAGTACCATCTAAGAGACCCAGCATTTTCCTTTTGCAAAGTGCAAGTCCAAATTCCCACTTGTAAAATTGTCCTTGGTCGAAGAATTCTCTCAGTTTAATTTCAAATATTGATATCCTAAAATTTTCAAAGTTGTGTCTTTTGAAGGGAGGAGGAGAAAACACTACGCTTTACTTAAAACTTTTTACTGAAAAAGGTTCCTTCTGTTTGCCTTTCCTCCTATAAATAAAATTAAACTAAACTTCTTAATTTTGCAAACAATAAAATATTATTTTTAAATCTAAAAAAATTTAATCATTAGAAAATAAGTTTACTTAGAAAATTGTAGATCTGAATAAATGTCCTTAAGTCACCTACGCCCCTGTAACCTTCAATGAAAAGTAAGCTTCTAAATCAAGAACATTTATTTTACTGTTTAACAATCAGTCTTTAGGACAGTAATTTAAAGAACACTTATTAAGACTGAGGGTTAGAAGTACTAAATCTCTTTTCATACATGGTAGCTGGAAGACTACTAAAATCCACACCTTTTATTCTCAGCAGCATTTCCCTCAAGCAAATACAAGGTCTGCCTGATTTTTCTCACCAGACCTTCAAAAAGCACTTTATTTCCTGCAAGCAAAAAAAATCAATAACCCACATAAAATGCCCCAGACAGAAGAGAATATAAGCAAGAGAGGTCATCCAACCTTGGAAATATAGACACAACACCTATCTGAACAATATTATAGTCTCATATTAATTACCCAGAACAGCAGCTGTGCTCCAGTAATCAAACATATATGAGAAAGTGCTCTGTAAGCACTCTTTCACACAGGACTTGATGGATGACTCTGTCTTCACAATAGAGAAATCAGAGTTTGATTACTACTACAACTAACTCTTTATTGAAGGTTAAATGACCTTCCTGCCTGTAAAGAAAAAAAAATAAATATATCCATATATTTCTCATGCAACATGAAGAAAAAGTTGGAAGTTTCAGAATTTTTCTCTACTACTTCATATTAAAAAAGAAGCATTTAAAGCACCACCAAAGGGCAGACCAACATCTTAGAGCAAGAACACAACATGCATGCCCAGTGCTACTCAGGAAAAGATACACAGTAAGAAAAGGTGAAAGTGTGAGTGATCAGATTCCAATTTGATTTGTTACTTCTTACCCAAGTCCAGATGCATAATTGTTTGGTTTCCAGTATATACAGGTAGAAATAAAATTATTATTATTACTACTATTACTATTATCATTCCAAATAGGACTTTAAGGTTTATTTTATAAGAGCATCATGCATCATATTTCCACAGTTCAATTCTGACTTGAATAAAAGCTCATACTCTTGATATGTCTGTATATTATAGTTACTGTCTCAAAACAAAGCTGTGTGCCACATGGAACTAAGACTATAGACACACACACTTTTTTTCTGTCATATACAGGATAACAAGATAACTCAAGTTAGGAAGGCACCACAGGACGTATCCAGTCCAAACCCTGGCCAAAACACAGCCAGCTTTGAGCTCAGAACAGATTGCTCAGGGCTTTATCCAGTTGGGGCTTGATAACCTCCAAGGCTGGTTATGGCACAGCCTGTATAGGCCCCGACTCCAGTGCTGGACTGTCCTTGTGAGGAAAACATTTCTTCCTTACAGTTAGTTTCAATTTCCCCTGTTTCAGCACGTCCCAGTTGTCTCCAACACTCCCTCCCACCACAGAATACTGTGAAGAGCCCGCTGCATCCCCTCCATCCCCTGAGCTGTTGTTGGGTGACCCCGAAGCCATCCCTGCTCCCAGCTGAACCAGCCCTGGTCCTGTAGCCTCTCCTTGCAGGGCAAGGGCTCCAGACCCACTGTCTCAGTGGCTTCCCATCATCTCCCTGCAGTGTCATTCCTCTATCAGGGACCCAAGG